CGACATCACGAATCTCGAGACAGATATCGCTTTTCTAATACCGATAATCGGTATTACTGGGATCTCGTGTAAACATTAGTCGGAAATGGCGACAGCTGTAGCAAAATGTGTCAATTATCGAGTGACTCAAAGAACGTGAAATTGTTTATCAGTTTATCGCAGTTTCGTCTTACTCCAGTTACCTACTCGCATTGCAGTTGATTTCTGTTCTCTCGTTTTCTTGATGCGACTTGAGCTCGAGCAATTTGACGTATTCAGGTAAAGGTCTAGTATTGTAAGCATTACCATTTAATCTCAAAATCACCATGCTTTTTGCTTCTCGAATTAAAGATTGCAAGTACGATCATCTCTGAGCAAGTGGATAAGAGATGTGAGAAAAATATTTATTATTAACAAAGAGATGCTCAATGGTACATGTGCTCGTTCATTTACTTTATTTCATAAACGATTTATTATCGTTATATTTTTTGCGTTAATTTCGCACGATCTCAGATTTTATTGTTTTAATGTGTTCACAAGAATCGCCTCGTTCCAATTTGATCATCAGCTCTCCTACAGTCAACAATATTCCGATTGTTTTCAGCCTCATCTCAAAATCAGTGAACGACGCATCATTTGCTTCAGGAAGCCGTATGGCCAATATCTAAAGAATAATAGAGGTAAGGCGATGGTTTATCTTTGATGGCAAGTGAACACTTCAGAAACGAGCTGTTCTAGATTTACATGCGCTTAAGCACTGTGCGTCAATGGAGTTGGTCAGCTCGTGAAATTCAAGTACTCCGAATAGAAATCAGGAGTGATTAACTGGAAAGATTTTGGCATAGTTTCAGTTACATTGTATCATTCCTTCATAGAGAATTCTCTAAATCAAACCTAAATTTCGCTTTGCTGATAACTAAGGACTTCACTGAGCATGGAATTCGAACGGCAAGAAAAGTCGTGAACACTGATGCTTTCCATTACTCATGAATTGTTCTTCCGTCCAATGTTCATCTTTTCCGGAAATCAGATGCAAATACTTTCAAAAATTTGCAAAATAAATTGATACAGATAAGTGCATCCGATTTTGAGGGGTGACAAATTACAGTGCAAAACTAGTGGCGTGTAAAAGTGTAAAAGCATGACGGTTAACTGCAAGCGTTTCTTGACGTGATGAAGTCAATTTCAGTGGGGCTGCCATTCATCGGATCACACTTTTGCGTTGGATTATTATGCTATCATACATAATTATTTTCGCGATTTCGATGAATGATGTCATGCGTCGTAGTTTTGCATATTAGCTACTATTCAAAGCAATATGTCTGAGGAAAGGGTTGATTTCATTGGTGAGTCAGCTGGTTGTTCACATTTTCGTACTGAATTATATGAATTAATTATGTGCGAACTCTTTTGGGATCATCTGAATGAGCAAGAGAAGCGAACTGGAAGATCATCTGAATGAACAAGAGAAGCGAAAAGAAATACTGCCTGTCTCTGTTCATGGTTGTGACTAAAAAAATTTGGGTTGTTTCTTCAGAAAAAGCAATTGATCATTGAATGAATAGGAGAACAATTTCACTCTCGCAGCTTATCGGATTGAAAAATTATCTATACTTCAAAGACACTGTTTTTTTAGTAAGAGCACACGCCGATACTGATATTTTTGCATTGTAGATTACCAAGCGTCGACCACACTCATTATGTTTGCGTTCGTTTTCATGGGAAGCTACAATTTGGTTTTTTCATAAAAAATTTTGTGACTATGTTGAAGAAGTTTCGAACTTTGTGAAGTTCGTTTTGAAAATGTATTTAAAAAATTGGCTGAATGTGCTGTAGCTATTCTCGCAAAAATCTATGGAATATCCATCAATTTGAATGATGCGCAAGATGCTCGTAAAGTCGCTGTATGGTCTTTGACTTTCGTAACGACTGAATTTTTGCAATAAAATCGAAAATTTTTGGTGAGAATCCATTTTTTTTGGACACTGAAATTCTACTGAATTCATTGTGGGATTTATTTGGATGGTAGGTAGTGATTACAACTAAATTTTTAAACAACGGAAACCAGTCAATAGGTGCATATGGGCAATCTAGAATCGTTTACTTTGGTTTATGGAGAGCTGCAGTGAAGGGAATGGAGAATATCTCTGATGCAGACACAGTCAGTAATTACTGCACAAAAGTTCTAGAATATGGTGATGTGCATAGTGCGCAGAGGTAAAATGTTGAAGAGTGAAATCAGAGAGCATTTCGTGAATAATCTCAATGTCTGATTGAGTCAATCGAGATAAATTGGTTACAGCTTGCTGTTTTGAAAGAGACTGTTCGTATAAGGAAGCTTGAGATACTTCATGGAGACGTGAGTACTGAAGAATCGAGAAAAATCACTGCTGACATTTTGCGAGAATACACCCTCTGTATTTCACTGCTCTTACGAACTGAATGGTGCAAATATCGAATGGAATAAAATTTCAGAGAAGAACTGAACCGATAATTCGCCATTACTTTCATCATATTCAGGTTGTAATAAAACCTGGAAATGTCACAGTGACTTCACGATCACTCTGACCATGAATTATGATAACATTACCATAAATAAACTACCATAATTTCAGCTCACGTGATTCTTTTACCGAGCGTATTGTGTATTGGTTTGGTGAACCAATGTTTGAACTTAATCACACTGTCGCAGATCCCTTCGTCTGGATTCACCTATTTGAAAGCGTGTGCAATCGCAGATATCCTTAGTATTGTCGCATTGATTCCATTCATCCTGAGACATGCTCAACTGCACGATCAGCACTCTCATTCAGCAATGCTATTCCACGCGCACATTGAATTACCACTCGTTAATGCTCTTATGTGTGCAGGGTTCGTCACATAAATCATTCATTCACGAACGCCAAATTTAGCTGCATTCAGCTTGCTGATCTGAATTATCTACGGTCTATTCATGCGTTCAAAATCGAATCATTTAATATTACCACTATGAATACGTGAACAGTGCTCAATGTGAATGAAGTTACTTGATTGTATTTAACAAAAAAANAAAAAAACGATGACATCGTTGATGGATAATATAATATTTCACAGTTAAATTGCTATCGCGATCGATGATCCAATCGAAAGTTCACCTCATATGCAAATACTCATGCAAATTATTCTCGCATTTTCTGCCGGCGTTACTTTGAGAAACTGAAACCTAAACTGATAATAAACCTAACGAATACCTATTTGCATCGTGATTATAACGCTTTTAGTGCATTATGTATAGTTGCAATGACTGTGGATCGCTACATATCAATTTGTCATCCAATCACTTGTTTTAAGTCGGGTGAATCACGCTACAATATAAAAGCAACGATTTTCACACTCTTCGTGCTATCGTTCATCGTTTTTGTGCCTTCAGGTAGTCCATCGTCGATCTTCTTTCACAACGAACGCATTCAACTATCGAAACAAACCAATCAAATTTTTTCATACCCCATCATTATCAACAATTTATTGCCTAGCAATAAGCACTCCACAACTGAATATTTCAGCTTGGCAAAAGCTAACGATCAAAAGTTTGGATGCCAAAAATCACACCATTTGGAAAGTGGAACGAAATGCGAAACTGAATAATACGAATGAATTTCGAATTTATATTGCATTCAGAGAGGTGCGATAAAACTTTTTCGAATGATTTATAAAATGATTTGTAAATTTTTGGTGACCACGTAGAGAAGTTTCATTAACGCATACAACAGTTCTCGTTAGATGGATTTTTCGTTGTGTATTAGAGTGCGGGAGATTTTTCAGTGGTAATGCAGGTGCACACTTTCTCATATTTATGCTGATGAAAAATCATTTCATTTCATCGAGAATTATGGACCGCAAAACCTATTTATCGAAAAAACGATGGTCTTAATTTGTAAGTATATACCAATATTTCAGTTCTTCGCTAAGTTGGGTCCGATTGTTATTTTGGTAGTGTTAAATTCCGCAATTATTCGCAATTTGTATAAATTCAACTCTAGGAGACGGGGGTTTAAAGCACGCCAAACAGGGACGAAGAGGTTTGTTTTTCGTTGCAATCCTCATTGAGCACCTTCTTTGTGTGACCACCTTCTGCCATTAACACTTGACTGAAAAGTTGAATTCGAAACAAATTATTTCAAAAGTACCAAAGTTTCTCTAGTGTTGAGATTCGGTGAACTATCGAAGGTGTGATTCAGAACCGGTATAAATCATAAAGAATACACCGATGAGTATCACACCTTCGGTAATTCACCGAATAGATGGGACACTATAGATCGAACAGAGGTTTGCAGCGAATGCGTTCATGAATAATAGCTGGTTGGGTTATCCATTATAAGTTCATAGGAACAATGCAGAATGAGACCAGTGAGGTGACTATCCGAATGTTTTTGATGAGTGAAACAGTTTTAAGGGTTTCGATATTGCTGTTGATAACATCAACAACGTTCGTTGTTTGCACTTTACCCGCATCGATACTCTCACTGTTTGTGGATCATTTCAATAATCGTTCATTATCTATGCAAATTTTTCGTGCAATCGCCAATCTTCTTCAAGCGAGCAGGTTTGCCTATGTTCCCTACTCGTTAAACGCTTTAGCATTTGCGTGTAAGGTTTCATTATACAAAATTTCCTCACAGTCAGTAAATTATGAAATGGATGAATCAAAAATTTTGAATCAAATGAACAATTGAATTTCATACATTTTTTCAACAGAAAAATGAACGAACCACTTTACAGTTATCTGTACAATTTCTACCTTTACGCATTATGTAGCTCGGAATATCGACGAGCATTACTCAAGTGGATTGGATTTATCCAGAAAGATTCACCGTCGAAAAGTTTCGATTCACGTGCACTCAAATACCCAACGACAGTGAATCAGAAAACGTTCGTCAATTACCTGACAAACTTATTTGAGACAGCTGAAAGATATCTGACCTCATATGCGCATTAGTGACCCACCAACTAAATGAGAGCAATCAACTTTGATGTTCACCGCAATGTGTTGCCGTATTNGTTCAACGATTATTCTCAATGATTTCTCGCTCATCAGCGAAAGTTATTATTTAGTTATAAATCGTCAGCGAAAGTTATAAAGTGTTCAGTCATGTACCGTTGCAGGACTCCTTGGAGAAAGCTCGAAACGGATGCAGTCTGAAAAGTGATCTCTCTCGATCTGGTTCCTGATGTATATACCCAGAAATAAAAAGTTCAGTAATGGTCAGAGTTGTGAAAATTTGATTTTTCTCGTTGTTGGCAAACCTTTGGAAAAACATTTGATTCGAAGCCTTTATGAATTAGACACTTCGGCAATGTTTACTGAACAGAGATCATGAAGAATAAGCTAAGTCAATCGCAGAAGTGTAGTTTCAGCCGAAATATTCACTCTCTAGCATGACAACTGATCAACTCCAGATGAACATTTTGTGATGAATAAATGATAGAATAAGACACTTATTTGGTTGCAGAATGGAGTTGATATGGTTGTTTCGATAGCAAAACACCAGAAGGATGAGCGTGAGTTTTTACTAATCCAAAGCTTGCATTACATCTGCCCTACACAAAACATTTTTGCAAACGCATCGAATACGTTCAATTTATCGAAGCTGAATGTATCTATCGAACGCTTGATTGCATTGTGTTTTTGCGTACGCTTCTCTCCATCAAGTCATCGTTATTAATCCTGAGCAAAGTCTTCATTTCGTTCGTAGTTGAATGTCTTCGTGTACACACGTGTGATGTCCTGGATGGTACAGCGTTCATATAAGGCGAAGTGAGGCAGCGAAGTAAGCCGTAACGTTGACCAAATGCAGCTATCATTCGCTGAAAGCTCGAGGAATGGAATGCGATNGTGCATTAAGATGAATAGCATACAACTAAAAATATGTCGTTTCATCGGAATATATGTGCTATCTTACATCAAAAAATCGACTGATTCAGATGTAAAAGTATCTGCATAACTGCTCGTTTAATTCACTGAGCAATGATCAACCACCTGTGTATCTCTGCGGAAGTTATCACTCCACCAAGCGTACACAAGTGGATTGCACAATGTTCCGACCATTGCAACCCAGTGTGTCACCAAAAATATCACCTGTTTGATTTCTTGAGATATGAGTTCCGTTCGGTACGCTAATTCCATATCTGTAAGCGTGTGCAAGCTATTTTTCGGACTATGCTTGAAGCAGCTATCCTATTCATAATGCTATTTTAAACAAATGCCACGTTGATGAAAATTCTCGTTTGATCAAACGAACAGTGCCTCATTCATGAAATTAGATACAATATAATAACATAAAAATTTTTAACTTGACCAAGTCAAATGAGTCATTACGAATGTTGTGAGACATGCCTTGTATAACGTTGAAGAGATCGAGCGGAAATGAACTAACACCGAAAATGATAACCATCACGAGTAAAAGTGTTTGTAAGCGTTGTTTTCTGCGAATATCTGCTGCATACCTCAACCTTGAAAAGTTCTCGTTGAAAATTCATGATGAACGCATTATGCCTAGGTATTGAATTATTTAATGGATTTTTAAAATTGAATATTTCGGCTGAAAAGTGAGTCTCCGCACTGAGATTACTGAGACGCAGTAACCTAGACTTCGCTGTGTTGTTCACATTTGTGATAATGACGAACGGGTCATTTGCAGCATATTTTCGTATATCTGAATACATAGAATTGTTCTTGGTGAATATCTTTTTGTAAGAGTCGTGCTCAGTTCGAATACTAACATAAGCATCATCTGAACGAATTCCACCCCTCAATTCTCAGTTTAGTCACATCACTCAATCTTAACATGATCAAAAACACTTTCACTGACAACAAAAGATCGCAGAGAATATTGNGCAGTAGACAGAACGCGATATGAAACAAGCATCAATTGCTCAGCTGGACTATTCCCGATTCCCCTCAATCTAGACACAATATCGCAATGAATGTCATACTGATTGCCGGATTTTTTAGAAAAAATGAATCTAATTTTCGCCATGGTAGTCATCGAAAATCCCACAAACACATGCTTAACGCTCTCCGACACAGACTTGAAAACGTATTCTGAAATGCACTCGTTGTCTTCTTAAAAATTTTCAGGCGCAATAGTGGAAGAAACAATTTTTATAGCAGCTAATCAGCCAATGATTTTCTAGCTGTCTTCAGCTCATTCGATGGCGTTTTTATTGCACTACCTATTTGTTATAAATGAGAATTCATTGGAACAAGCATATTGAGAGAAGTGATATAAAGAATTTTTAGTCAGAACGATTATTGGTCAGAATTTCAAACACTGCACTTTGTTATCAGGAATAGGCAAAAAATGATGAAGTCTCAAATCAGTGAAAATGCATAATAGCTGCGTAGATAACGGCTCAGCTTTAGACTGAACTTTTACAAAGGGCAATTCAACATTTTGTGTTCACTATCAATTGAGAAAACGTTCACAATCTGAACAAATAAAGCGGCATGCAGTGAAATCATGTGAAAAAATACGTGTTCGCAGAACGCATCGTCCGAAGCCGTACGGTTTGCTGTCTGAGGATGCATGCGATTCGCCAGTGACAAAACGATATTATAAGAAGTGGTAGAGCACTCCGAACCGTAAGCACTGTTAGTCCGTAAAGTAAACGAACGACTCGTTCGTCTGGCCATATTTCCACACAGTACTCAAAATTAATTTTGTTCATTCTGTTATTCAATAATGAATTCTTTTCCCACTTCACCTCATATACGTACCGAACTGAATCAACTCTCTGCCATCATCAGACTGCCGTTCAAACTTAGGTTGCTCATGCTGATATCTCATTTCGCTCCCCTCATTATTCTTATACTACTTATACACTGAGCCGTTACGCTTCTTCATACTGACGGCTTATTCAGCGAATAATTCGCAAAGGGTAAATGCAAAAAATTCAATAGCAATATTTTTCGTTTAATGATGTCATTATTTGCGGTAATGAATAATTGATTAATCAAATTTGTTTGCAGAGAGACGCAAACGTCTCGATTTTCGAACGGAAGGAAAACATTATCCTTTTTTCTGCAACGCATCCCGACTGTCACTCAAATTTCATCATCAGATAAGAAAATCAAACTTTTCAAATCCATCACATTTTCATACTTTAACTAAATGTAATGGAGATCATGCTTGAGTCAGCACTCACCATGGTTACTACGACCACTGATCGCAGAACAAAACCATATTCACGAATGAGAAAGACACAAGGTGTTAGATACAGAAAAGGAGGGTAAACCTAAAGCGATAACAACCTGATGGCATTCGCCGACGTCAAAGTAATGCACATGGCTGAGCATCGGAGTGAGCACAAGCAATGCTCCAAACCAAATCCCACAAATTATAAGGAAACATGTACGATTGTTGATTTGTTTTTTGAACGGTGAAGAAACCAACAAATAGCGGTCAACTGCAATTGCAGCCAGTGTCAGCGGTGACCACATCAATGAGGCACCCTGAAATGAATGCGATAAAGAATAATCACAAATCGCATCAAGATATGACAGTGAATGTAATGATAAATGTGTGAGCTTATGCGCGTTTTGATAATCAATTAAAACGAGTTACCTTGAGTTGTAACGACCGATGGATGCGCACTATTGTAGTGTTGTTGTT